TCTCTCTCTCTCTCTCTCTCTCTCTCTCTCTCTCTCTATCTATCTATCTATCTAAGGGAGTAGATATATATATATATATCTACTCCCTTAAAACTTTTTCTAAATCTTAGATTTTATTAGAATGAAATAAATAATAATCATTTCTAAAAAATTTGTAGGATATGCAATCAGTTTGTCTTGCAGTAGATTTTATGCTTGCCTTGACGAATTTGTTCTTGTAATGCAGTTGATATACAGACCTGATAAAGGGGAGATCCGTGGAGTTCATATTTTAGGGCTGCATGCTACAGACCTCATCCATGAGGCATCAAATGCTATAGCCCTGGGAACACGTCTACAGGTGATCATATTTCACACTTGAATATTTTGATTTGTGATTGCTCACGATCATTTACTTGGATTACACGTTATATGCATCTAAAAGAACTGCAGTCGTGCCTTTACATATGAAAATTGAGAAACAATTGTTTATAGTATGCTGCCCCCTTATTAGGTTCATCTATGTTTCATGTCTTTTTGATGAAATATTTAGCTTATGTTGATGTGAACAAACTTGAAGTTTTATAACATGTGAACTACTAGCTATTTTATGGATAACAAAAGTTACACCAAATCAATCTCTGTGAAGCATCTCTCAAGCGCTTTTGGCCTAATATGACATGTTTCTTTTTTTTCTTTTGTAAAATCTAGAAAAGATGTAAGTTCTCTTTGAAGACTCATAGGTAGGGAACCTCAGAGTAGTCTGCCACTTTGTTGTGTCTACCAGGGAAAAGCTGACATACGCCCAAGGAAAATAGTTAGACTTTACTGCAGAATATTACAGCATTGAATGCTTGGGGCTCCAACATGGAGGAGCTCTGGTTGCTTCACTTTCTTTAGCAGGACTTGATTTTTAGTTTAATGCTAACCAAAAATAGTTTATTTTTAAGGACCATTACTTATTAGATGATGGTGTAGACTATGTTGTTTCTCATCAGCTTATTTATCATTGATATAAAATTGTTTTTTTTTTCTGTAATTGCCACATCACCTATCTTAAAGTTTCATTAAATGTCAAGTTTCTGGGGTTCGCCCAATTGCATCTTGCACACTGCCACTAAATAGGTTAGATCTTTCAACATACCGGCTAGACCTTGAGGTTCTTCAGAAGATGCTTAAACTTTACCTTGATTAGAAAGTTATCTCCAGTAGCCATTCATAAAATTTCTTTTAAATCATTCATGAACTTTTCCATAAAATTTAGATTGTCCTGTATTCTTGAGTGTCACCATCTGGAAGAGTCTTGGATGATGATGATGATGATGGGATGCAAGTGAAACAAATAATTGTAACCATCTTGAACGCCAGTCCTGTTAAGTGACCCTTAAAGTTTCTATTCACTGGTAATGATGCCAGGTACTGTTGTATTTGAACATCTTTGCAACTATATAATGCATAAAGCTAGATCTAATGTTTTTGTTTTAACATTGATCTTCACATTTAAAATAATATTTCTTAACAAATCGTTCAAATATTCTTTCTGGAAGCTCCTGATGTGATGGTGTCTTTAACATCTATACCTCCACTTCTTTATGGCTTTAAAACAAAAAAGATATATTAAATTCCAAGAGAAACATTTCAGTTGACAACAGGCAATTAATTTTTGTGATTCTGTGTTTGTTGAATTAAAAAAAATTCTATTTACTGAATAAGTTACAACTGTTCTATTGCAACAGGATATAAAATTTGCCGTTCATGCGCATCCAACTTTATCTGAAGTTTTACATGAACTCTTCAAATCTGCCAAGGTATGCATCTAATCTTCTTTGGTATAATGCATCTGACAGCGTCTATAATCTTTATAGTATCTTGAAGACTTAGAAATCTGTCTTACATATCATGCTGAACTAAAAGAACGATAAAGAAAAGATAAATTTGATGGACCACTAGTTATGAATTATATATTTGTTGAAGTATTCTATTGCCTTGCCTTGTTAGAATCTGCAAAAAACTTTAGAGCGACAATGATTTGTTCAATCACACAATTAATTCAAGCCAAATCGACATAATTAATTGTTGATTAACAATTGATGCAAGCCAAATTCTGCTTGGTTGTTTATAAATAATCTGAGAGAAAATTTTGTGAAATTATATCGCCCACAATATTCCATATGTTCATTCACTTGTTTTGCCAGGTTAATGTTGGTCTCCCGTCTTCTGTAAGTCAACCAGTTGCAGCCAAACCAGTCTTTAGATGATCTCGGTTATCAGGAGGAAGCCTTCTCAAATACCTTATAACACATCAAGAATCTCATCTTTGTTTCCACTGAAGATAACGAATTCGTGGAAAGCTCAGTGGAGCTCTGCTGTTGCTGCTACCGACGGAAGGAGAGGTTTTTTCTCTTTCTTCTTGTTTCCCACGTTTATTTTGACCACTAAACAGGCTTATTTTAAAGGTGGCATGGCAAGTGTTTTGCCTTTATGTCTATAGATCGTGATAGTTCCACGTTTATTGGATTGTTTTGTTCCACGTCGTGATCGGAATATTGTGCGGTGTGCATCAAGCTGTGTGTGTGGGCGTAGTATCCCTTTTTCCTATCGTTTCACTCTTTTTCTTGCTTCTTAGTGACGGCTACCACTGAAGACTTGGACCAGCGGAGCAATCAAAGCCACAAAGAACAAGTGGGTGATAGGAGGGCCACGATCCGGAAAAAGTGAGTTCATCTTTTTTGTTTATATTCCGAGATGTTGCCTTCGTATTAATTTAAATTGCTATTAGGCTAAGGAGAAGGCCGCTAGAGAGGCAAAAAAAAAAAAAAGAACTGTGAACATGCTTTTACTACAGTGCTCTCTAAATGAATGTACTATGGTACATGCTCGCCTGTGTCACCTTTAATGATGCCATTTCATGATTATAGTTAGGTTTGTCATTGCCAAAAGCTGCCGGTTCCCGGGACAAGTATGCCGAAATTAATTGCTCGTCGAACGGCAGAGCTTTCTCAGCGTCAGACGGTCTCCTCGAGGTATGTATTGATTGCATGGTCCTCAGCACACCGTAATGATTACTTCTTACTGCATTTTGTTGCGTAGAACTCAATGTGACAATATATGCATGCTCTTGTCTTGATTGGTGCCACTGTTCGCTACCTTTCCAACGCACAAATATACGCCCCGTTCCTAAAATCTTTCTTCTGCAAACACTGTCACGTAGCTGCAATTTGTCTTTCCTCCTACCAGCCTATAGTTTTAGCAGTGTGTTCGAGTAGGCCTTTGAAGCGAGCTGTGAATTATTTGCCGCACTGCTCGTTGATTTGTCCTATTGAGATTGAATAGTCTTCATCGCTTTTGTCTTCTTTAATTGATTATAAGTCATAACATAAGACACCAAATTCTATATTTTTCTTTACATTACTTGTCAATTTGACCTGTTCTGACTTGCAAGATCCAAGGGTGAGGCCAAGTCAGAAAACAAAAAAAGAAAAGTTTATTTTATCAAATTAGAAATTTCAACCTTCTGATTGTTCCGATTCAAGAGTCATCTCACCAAAAGGAAATTGTCTGAAAACAATGCAATTTTCATTTTCCCAAAGCAACACATCTTTCAGCTTTTCAGTATATGATTTTGTTGATGCAACCTTTGTTGATTTTTCTTTCAGTTCATGGACATATTATCTTTTCTAAATGATATCCTTTAAATTTTAAAAAAAATATATTACAAAATAATGATCATTCCAGTGAGTCACTGGCAGATCAAGATAAGAAAAAATGATCATCAGGAATAAACCTAGAAAAATACCCTTTGATGTTAGTAGGATAAAGATGAAACTCTTCCCTCTTTCTCCCTTCTTTGGAACCGGTCTCCTTATTTGTTCTGGTGCAAAGTTCAACCAAGGTAAAAGTGCAAGCTAGAGGGGATACCCTTTCGTTCCTCCATGTGTGTTGCCTTGACCCACCCATCTTTTGTAGGCTTAGTTGGTGAGGAGGCAAGGAGTAATTGTGGTTGACAATGCTTAAGGATATTTGTGGTGCATGGTCAGCAATGTCATTTCCCAACTTATGTTCGAAGATCTACTTGTTGTTAAGGTGTTCATGTTTCGATTAGTTTCACATTCTTCTCTCATCATTATCAAAATTTATAAAGGCAAATAATTAATTTATTTTTATTTAAAAAAATTAGTTTTCTTACATAATGTTACGAGTTTGAAGAGGGAGGAGGTGGTGATGGGTCTAACGAGGATGGAGATGACCAATGGGGTCTACAGCATTGATCGTGACCCTCACTCCCCTCCTATCTCATGTGAGAGTTATGGTCAATCATGACTAGGGTTGACAAGCTAAGCAAAAGAAATGTGATTAGGGTTACGAGTAAATTTTTTTTAATGTTATGAGGTAAAATAATCTTTTTAAGTAGACAAGAGTGTTCAGCGAGACATTCGGCTTAAAAAAAAATTATAGTTATAATCTATTTTTAGGAATTTATTTTTTGTTTAAATAATAAATATGCAAAAGTTTGTATGTACGTATTTAGGATCTGAAGCCCAAAGTTTGTAAGTAGATAAATCTATGCATAAGCTATATATATATATATATATATATATATATATATATATATATATATATATATATATAGAGAGAGAGAGAGAGAGAGAGAGAGAGAGAGAGAGAGAGAGTATATATATATATATAGAGAGAGAGAGAGAGAGAGAGATTAATGGATGTGAGAGGCCTAAAAAAAAAGTGTTATTGCTAACTAGCCTTGGAAGATTTAAGACATAAATGAGCAGTCTATATATATATATATATATATATATATATATATATATATATATATATAGAGAGAGAGAGAGAGAGA